TTAGTATCCAGACTATATCATACCAAATTAGAAAAAAATTCCATTTGCTACACAATCATGGAAGAATCATGTTTTTGTGTGAGCAAATGCATTTCTCGAGGTGACAACACATAGATTTGTTGATGACTGAAACAAATTTTAACTTTCTGCTGAACTAGCACAAACCTTACTAAGGCTCATTATTAGAGAGCTCTGGAGGCATACTAACAGACAGCAGACAGACTAAATGTGGAGTAAACAGAGTGTAGGTGCAGACCCAGGACAAACCTGTGGCAAGACCTGAGCAGCAGGGGGTGCATTATGTGCAATGGACTTATACTGTGAAATATGTAGACACTAGAACTCAGGATATGAAATAGTTTAGCTCTGTTTCTCCGAAAATGAAGTTTATAGCACAAAATACAACCTTTAACACTAAGAAATCTAAAGAATATATGTCAGTTCACGGCCTCTTGTGTCTTCACCTGATCAGCCTTCGGGTATTTACTGATGAGGAAAATATGTCTAAGTCATTGTCCCAGTTAGGGCTACTATTACTGCAGTTAAACAGCATGACCAGAAGCAACTTGGGAGGAAAGAGTTTATTTAGTTATGTTTCCATATCACTGTTGATCATCAAAGGAAGTCAGGACAGGAACCTGGAGGCAGGAGCTGATGCTGAGGCCCTGGAGGGGTGCTGCTTACTTGCTTGCTCCCCATGGCTGATTTGCCTGCATTCTTATAGAACCCAGGGATGGCACCACCCATAATAGGCTGGACCCTCTCTCAGCGATCACTAATTAGGGCCTGCACATTTTCTCAATTGAGGCTCCCTCCTCTCTGGTGACTCATAGACTGTGTCAAGTTGACATAAAACTACCCAGCACAGTCACTGGGGGATGTTTTCCCCAGGATTCCTATTTCTAGGTTTCATTCCAGAGAGTCTATTCTTTAACTTGGGAATGAGTTTTTAAGTCGAACTACCATGTTTTTGCTGCCTGTGTAGAGCATATTTCCTCCTGGTCTTTGACGAAGGGTTATGTACAGCATTAATAGCTCTTACCATGGTGTCAAGCTTTCAAGTATGACTATAGACCATGTTTCATTCACTTATAAAAATTCATTCTCTGTTACCTCAAAGAAAAGCATATGTATAAAGGATAAAAATAGCTGTTTTATTCATTCCTGAATTACACAAAGAAGGAAGCTGTCGTAGCTTTGGGTTTAGCTGGAGGACAAGTAGAAACTAAGCTTTTCTCTCCCGCAGGATATGTCTGTGAGTTCTAGGACAGTGTCTGGGGCATTCTTGCTGTACTGTTTTAAATGTTTATATTCTCCTGCACATGATGTATGGCTCCTTACTGCTCGTTTACTTCACCTTAACCACCGTAATGATGCTACTCTTGTTTTCCTTATTCCTAGTGTATTTGGGATGGGACCTTCAGTGCTCTTCCCAGCACTGTCTCCAGTCTTTAGGACTAACCTAAGAGGCAGCAGAGAACTATGACAAAAGGTGTTTTGTCTCTTGTCATCTGTATTACTTATTGGAAATTGCTTGTTGGTTGGCTTTCTTGCTACTAACAGGAACGTTAGGCTACTGTGAGTTGTCACAGCAGTTTGATTTTTATTTTCACACGTTTGTCTTGTAAAACTTGGTGTAGTGCTGAAAGGTGTATAGTTTTCAGAAAGGGTTTTTTGTTTTTTTTTTTAATTCTTGTTTTAAGCCAGATTAAATATCTGGAACTTTTTGTAGAAATGTGGTATTATCAGATCTCAAGGACACCGGGGAGCAAATGTATGAGCAAGAGGGTCCCTTAGAGTAGGATGTTTATAATTTACTGTCCCTAGAGCCATCCAGACTATAACCCCACAGCCTAATATTGTTCACCTCCCAGCTCCATCGTTACCTTAGCATTGCTTTCCGCCCCAATCTATGAGAACCAAAGGAGGTGAAATTTCCTGTTATCCCTCCCCCTTTTGAACAGTGTGTTTTGGTTTTTTTCCCCCTGTGACGAATTTCCCATATAACTCTACCTGATGTTCCTGTGAGAGCAGGTAGAATGCAGAGATTTTACCAAAACCTGAGAACAAACAGCCAGGAACAAATCACTAACACACAGTGAAGCCATAAAAGGGAGCAAGAATATGACGTCAAGTACTTCACTGCTTCCTCTAGGGACCCATCTTTTTTTTTTTTCCTTACATAAGGCCACACATAAGGCAAAGAGAATCTAATTCCTCAGCTACGTGGAAAAGATCTGCTTTCTTGAATTGTATAGTTTAGTCACCTATTTTAAACCTGCAATAATGTCAGTGGTTCATGTTGTGCATGGCATCCTTTGTTCTTGGAAATGCATCTGGAATGTCCCTAGGGGCTGACTGCATCACTGTGGAAAGGCTGGACAGCTGCACTACCAGCTTATGCTGCACACCGTGGACTTAGGATTCAAACCAAAGTATTCTGAGGGTGCAGTGACTCCAGTGCTCGGCCACTCGCTGCTTAGATGGCAGCCAGAGGCTGAGGTGGAGGGTGTCAACCATTCTCTTTCTAATCACATGTACTACAGGAAAGCACAGTTGATCTTTACTGTGGTCCTTGACTGTTTTCATTAGCATATTTGCATGCATTCCATTTATGAAGTTGTGCTAGTCACCAAAAAACATAAGGAGATTCTTCCCACTGCCACTACTGATTTGTTTTTCTTTGTTCTCTGCCTGCATAGAACTTGGGAAACAGTGAAACTTACAACCAGGAAGGGGAAATCTGCTGACGGTATGACTATCATAACTCTTTCTGAAGGAAGTTAGCACATGAAATCGTAAGATGGTGTTTAATATAACCAAAGACCTCAAAGCAGAATTACCTTCAGTTAGGATTTTTTATGTGTGAATCTCCTGTTTTTACAATGCTATGTTCCAGAGCTTTCTGTATAAGTAACTTCTGACTCCCATTTTCTAAGCTAAGAACAGTTTTGAAAGAAAGATGTGTTAACCTTTATAGCCAAACATATGTCGGTATAATTTGAAGCTACATGCTGTGTATTCGTATATGAAGACCACTGGAGTCCTTTGTACTCGGAAGGTGAGAGCCTTTGGGTGTGGTGAAATGATCTCCCACCTTCCTGCTTCAGTTGAGAGGAAAGATGATTGGGAAAGGGGTCCCGTTCACCTCTTGCAGGCATGTGGCTTGGCTGCAACCGCATCAGAAACATCCTGTAGCCACATGTGGTGTGGAAAAGCTGAGCTTTTTGTTTTTCCATCTTGATTTGGTTTTTATAGGCGACAAACAGTTGCTTTGCTACAGCTGCTCTTCACTGTTAAAGCATTTGGGAGCTGCTAACAATCGTCCCCGGTGGTGGCTGTCTCCACAGCCAGTAGCTTTCTGGTTTTGTTTTAAGGCCAGATTATTTAGAGGGGAAGAACTTATATTCTAAAACAGCAAAAGTCGGTCCGTTGACATAGAAGACGTGGTGGGTCTCCACTGGCTTCTCCCTTAGGGGTCTCTAGCAGCGTGCAGACCACCCTCTTCACCAGCTGCCACTTCAATGGCTGCTGCATGGGGAGCTGGGGTTTCCCATCCTTGGCCCTGTGTGACATGTTCAGTTTCAATTTTGACTTCCTTAAGAATGTGGCTGGGCCTGATGGTGCACACCTGTAGTCCTATACACTCGGGAGGCTGGAGCAGGAAAATCAGGAGTTTGAGTTAGCCTGGGCAGTAGAGACAACATAGTCAGACTCCATGTAAAATAGAAAAAAAGAATATTGTGACAACTGAAAACGATCTTTATAATTAAAGAGTATTTTAAAAATCTGACAGAAGTGTTACTTTTTGTTGTTGCTGTTGTTGTTTCTTCGTTTTCTTTTTTTGAGACAGGGTTTCTCTGTGTAGCCCTGGCTATCCTGGAACTTTGTGGACCAGGCTGGCCTTGAACTCGGAGATCTGCCTGCTGCTGCTGGGACCACCACCACCTACCTGGCTTCCTTTTTACATTATTAAATGAGACTAGTTTCAAACTTGGCTGCCAACACAGAAGATGAAGTTCATTGCTCACTGCTTCAGCAGCAAATTCAGAGTGATGTGGCTGCATCTTCAAATCTGGAGTCTGTGTCGAATTGCTGTGGACAAGTTCTAGCCTGGCTGACCTTTCTCAAGGGTTCCTTAGCTTTGTTTCTGTTTGACAGCCGTGTCCATCATCCCAGTGCTGCAAAGAACTCTTCATTACGAGTGTATTGTTCTGGTGAAGCAGTTCCGGCCCCCAATGGGTGGCTACTGCCTGGAGTTTCCAGCAGGTGAGTAACTCTTACGTAGGTCCTTGGCCTGGGACTAGAACTGCATTGCTTAACTCTGAATCCCTTATGTCTTAACCTCTTTCCATCTATCCCGGTAACTGAAAGTAAATAATAAACATTTCTAAGGCAAGGGAAATGACTCAGCCGTTAAGTCATCTTGCTCGCATAGCAAGTGCTTTGAGTTTGGATCCCTGGAATCCCATGTCAAAGCCAGGGAGTTTTGGGGGCTTTTCTAGAATCCAAGCCCTGGAAGGTGGACAAGGAGTCACTGAAACAAGCTGGCTGGTGAGACTAGCCGTTATCAGCAAGCTGTAGGTCTGACTGAACGATGTTGGGTGGAAGAGTGATTGAGGAAAGAGTTTTACATCAACATCACTCCTAGACATGCGCGCGTGCGCGCGCGCGCGCACGCGCGCACACACACACACACACACACACACACACATATATATAAAATACCATGTTTCTATAATGAGACTCCTTCAAGCCCTGGCACGTTTGGGGTTAGGCAAACCTATATACATGATGTGCAGCTCAGTGGACACACCCCCTTTCCACCTAGCTCTCTGACCTCCGTCTCCCAGTCACTGCTGTCAATCATTTATCCATTTAACTCCCTCTGTCACTCACAGTCGTTCACAGGAATTTAATAGTAGTCAGTAATTCAAACTCTAAATGGCAAAGGCCGTAACTAGAAGACACCTTGGTCTGCCATAAACAAACAAGTCAAGAAAATTCTTGATTTTTATCAGAGGTATTTTTTAGATTCATTGTAATTAAAGAAGCCATCCAGAATTGGATACACAGTATTATAGCAATTTATCGGACTGTACCCATATGAAGGAATGAATAAACCCCATGTATTTATGGAAAGTGGTATACTTTACAGCCAGGTTTATGAAGCCCAGTAGGATTTAGGTACAGTGTTTACCCAGCATGCACAAAGCTCTGTGCCCCATTCCCAGGACTGAGGTGGGAAAGCCCAGTTCACACTAATATATAGTTAGCTCTTTTCTTTCTCACTTGCCATTTCATTAAGTTAATAACACCAAAAGTGATTTAAAAATTGAACCTACATTTTACTTGTTCTTTACATGGTTGTATACCATTCAGGAAAATGAACCTGAGTTATAACTTTCCCTGTTTGGTCTATCTGTTCCTCATATGGCCGTACGGGCACTCCCTCCTGGCTCTTCATTGCTGGGCCGAGGTAGTTTTCTGTGAGGAAGGAAAGCAAGATAACTGTCACCATAGGGGAAAAAAAATCGCATCCACCTCTTGTACTATAGTCCCATAAACTGACTCCAGAACCCAGGCCGCTTGGCCGCCACCAAATCATCTTTCCTCAATGCTGTCCCTCTTGTGCAGAACATGGTTGAGATGTTCATGAGAAACACCTAGATGTAAGCAGGACACATGAGTAATACCTACCGTAGCCTGCTCGGGATGTAAGGGTCACTGTGACTTCCACTGTGAGAAAACTGTTCAGAGAACTCTGGCTTCCTCCTGTCCTCCAGGGCTCATCGATGATGGTGAGAGCCCAGAAGCAGCCGCTCTCCGGGAGCTAGAGGAAGAGACCGGCTACAAAGGTGATGTCGCTGAGTGTTCTCCAGGTTCGTATTGCTTGGCAGGTGTCATTGTCTTGGACATGAATGAAGCAGGAGTTCCTTATGGAGTCAGGCAGAGAGGAGCCAGGGATTTAGACTGGTCTCCAGCCACGTACAGTGTAATTCTAGTCGGCCAGAGCTGAGGCAGGATTGTGAGACGAGACGCAGGTCAGCAGGGGCTCCTCAGTAAGCCAGTGTTCATTGCCCCTTCCCCCAAATTAAAAAAGGAGGGTTATTCTCCATCAGGGAGTGAACTGCCCTTCTGCACGAGAGCAAGTTGGAGGACCTGAAATTGGAAAATTATGAAACCAAGTTGTCTTCAGAACATAGTAAACCTTGCTGCTTGCTTACCTGTCTCGGCCGAACTCCTCACTGGGTTGGTTTGTCACCATCAGACCCCTCCCTCTAGCCCCTCCGACTTCCCAGACTGATGCAAGAACTCCAGGAAGTTTGAGAGTTTTGGGAGTTGCACACAAGTTCTACAGGCTGGTGGCATCTACTGACTAGATACCCGTTGAGTGACCCCCGAGCCCCAGCTCTTCTGTGACATTAGTGAAACAAGTGGCAAGGGACTAAGGCGCCTGCCTCATTCTTAAGACAGTTGTCACTTTTTTCCCAGCTGTGTGTCTGGATCCAGGCTTGTCGAACTGTACCACACATGTTGTCACAGTAACCATCAATGGAGATGATGCGGAAAATGTAAGGCCGAAGCCCAAACCAGGTGAGGGTGTGTTGGATACATTCAGGCTGGTTGAGCTGCATTGAGGATCTTTTAACTTGCTAAAATAAGCTTAGTTTTCATTGAAAGAATCATAGTCTGCCACAGGTTCTTGGTATGTACTTGTCTGCTTCCCAGTGTTGGATAGGTATTTTGGCACATTCTCTTCAGTATAGCATTGATCTTGTATGTGTTTTGTTTCATTTTTATAAAATGTTAAACTACAAAAATCATAAAATATGTTCAGTTTTATAAAATGTTCAATGTCTTTTTTTTTTGGTTATGTGGAAAATTGATTCCCATTTAATGAGCTACAGACCCAACTAGAAAGTGAGAAACTTCAAAATCACCTTGGTTTTGTCTTCATGTGTAAGAACAACATATGTTAAAGGCTGTAGTCTTTTATATTTATAGAGTTTGTAAGGTTATTCTTTGCACTAAAATATCCCCTAGCAAGTGGGGTCCAAAAGCATTAATACGTTATTGATTCCCTGTCCTTTCTCCTACCCTTTTGAAGGTGGGTTAATGGATGGATGGATGGATGATCAATACACACGGTTAACAGTACACACACACAGGGACACACACACACACACACACACACACACACACACACACACACACACACACCATAGTAAATCATGTTTGAGTGGTAATTTCTTATCCTTGTAAATTATTCCTGCATATGTTTCATTAGTCTCTTGTAGCCAGTTTTAAATGCTTAATTGTTTAAACTACAAATATTCATAAGACATGGAAGACATTTAGGAGCCCCTCAAAGTTAAACATAGAACTATCTAAATTCTATTACGTGTGGTAGCACACACCTTTAATCCCAGCACTCTGGAGGCAGGGGTGGGCAGATCTCTGTGAGTTCGAGGTCGGCATGGTCTACAAAGTGAATTTCAAGACAGTTTGGACTAGTACACAGAGAAACTCTGTCTCCAAAAACAAACAAAAATTATCTAGAATCCAGTATTTCCAAAGGAAATAAACTAAACTGAAAACAAGAGACTCAGATTCTAATATATTGGATAGTTTCATCACTTAAAGCAACTGAAATAGAGACTAGTCAGGATTCTACCAGCACTTGAATGGATAATGAAATGTAGAATTTTGATAAATGCTACACTATGAATGAACCTTGATAGTATTGTGCTAAGTGAAAGAAGCTATATTCAAAAGGGCAAACGTGATTCTATTGATATTAAATACCTAGAATAGACATTCATGGAGACAAGAAAGTGGAAATTGTCAGAGATGGAGAGTTACTGTTTAGTGAATTCCAACTTTCAATTTGGGGTGACAAAATTGTGAGCTTAAGAGTAGTGATGTTTATACAACTCTCTTAATCTTGCTGAATTTTAATGTAAAAAACGGTTAAAATGATAAATTTTGTATTGTGTATTTGTCCACAAGTATAAATGTAGCAAACATACAGTACAGGATATACTTTAGATTTTGCTGTGAAATGTTTGATCTGGAGAATAACAATGTTATATCATTGATACTGACTTTACTATGATATAGTTAATAGTCTTAGGCTTCTGTTAGATTCTTTTCCAGTCTTTATATTTGCACTGGAGTCTTCCAAAGGCTTGCCACAGCAAGCTGTACTAAAATATGTTCTTCCCTCTTTTTATTTTCAGGGGATGGAGGTATGCTATTCAACTCCCAGTGGCTGGCCCTGTGATGGCTTAGTGTAGTGGTAATGATGGGTGCAGACATTTGGGGCTGTTGGGGTTCACTCCTGATCTTCAGCTTTGTTTTACTGTATTCTGTTTGTTTAGAATTTGTGGAAGTGATTTGTTTCCCAAAGAATGACCTAATGAATAGACTTGACGGTAAGCACCCTAAGCTTATTACCCAGCCTTCTCTTGGTTCCCTGCCCCCATCTCTGTCCACTGTGGCATTATTATAATTCCTTCATCTCTTAATGTCAGACACCTAGAAACTGTTGACCAATGCTAGTTTTCCTTTTCAAGTGATGTACAGTTTAAAATTTAAGAAAAACATTGTGTCAAGGGAAAGCTTTAATAGGGGCCTTTTTAAATTTTTTCCCTACATAAGTGATTATTTTCTTGCTATCTAACCAAAACTATTGAATGCTTAAGATCTTTGATCCAGCCGGGCAGTGGTGGCGCACGCCTTTAATCCCAGCACTCGGGAGGCAGAGGCAGGCGGATCTCTGTGAGTTCGAGGCCAGCCTGGGCTACCAAGTGAGTTCCAGGAAAAGGCGCAAAGCTACACACAGAAACCCTGTCTCGGAAAACCAAAAAAAGAAAAAAAAAGATCTTTGATCCATACCAGTGCCAAGGTGTAAATATGTAGCTCAGCTATACTGGTATGTTAGATAGTCTTTGTAGACAGTCAAGTTAAAGACTCTTACAGCAGTTCTCCAACACATACTTGACTGAGAAGCTGATGTAATGAACCCTAGTAAATGTAAATCAGTGGTCAGTTGGTTAGATCAGCCCATCCCACAAAGACAGTGCAAAAGTCCTGTTAGATTCTGTGAGATAATATTAATGAAGAGGTGACAGAGATCCTCCGAGGTGCCCCAGCTTTGTGGATCCCCATTCACCCATTTGTGAAGAAGTGGAGCCTTTCATGATCCTAACTTCTTATGCGTTCTCTGCTAGGAAACTAATAACATTTCTTCTACTGTTTTTAAGTAGCTCCTTTGAAGATTAGCACAAAATAACAAGTATTCATTGACCTGAGACTCTAAGAGCGGTCCTTAATTCCTCCCATGCCAGTCAGTGGCTTATGGCTTCACTTGAGAAGCCGAGAGCTCTATTTTGAAATAAATGTCTGTAACTTGTTTGAAAAGTTAAGTGACTATCAAAAAAAACTGATTTTATATTCTCAGGTTCAATTTCTTTACCTTTTCAAAAAGTAGAGCTGAGATAAAAATCATCACAATACCTCCAAGCCAAATTAAATGTCATCATTTATTCAGATGGCAGCCAATATTAGGTAGTACAGCTAAAGATGGGACAGGCCTTATGGGTTTGAGGTCTGCCACTGTTGCATTACCAGTACTAGCTTCTTGTTTTCCTAAATCAAATAAGCCCTTCCGGTGAGGATGCGTGAGAAAAATGAAACATAATGAATGTAAGTGAAGCACTTGGCCCCCAGGTGCTTAAATAGTATGTGATGGATGTTTTCTTTACTTATAGAATATCCCTTATAGAATTCCTTCTTTCATCACCTGACTCCCCTTCTGGTCTTAGAAGGGGATAATTCAGCAAGAAAGAAGAGAGGGAAACAGCCAATTTACCTAACCAGTATAACAAACTATAGGAACCAACTTTCATCTTCTGCCATACACAGGTGAATAGGACATGAACCCTGCCTCAAGGGTCAGTTGTCTTTGAGCTTATCCCCAAACACATGGCTCAGAGACACTGGGCCACTGAGATGGCTGAGTGCTGAGCCTGATGAGGCGTCTGTGGCGCTACTTTTCATCCTTTACTCTGTAATTTTAGTGTCCCCAGCATCTAGTATAGGAACTGGCGGAGTATGAACAGTGATTGACTAGGCTCTCCTGTCATTGTCTCTAAACTGTCACCTTTGCTTCCTTAGCTTTGGTAGCAGAAGACCATATTACAGTGGATGCCAAGGTCTACGCCTATGCTCTGGCACTGAAACACGCCAACTCGAAGCCATTCGAAGTACCCTTCCTCAAATTTTAAGGCCAAGGAGGACACTGGCCATGTTTTGTAAATGAGACCATAAGGCCTTCACTATTCAATGTATTCAATTAAGTTTAATGTAGATCGGAAATCAGCTTTTTCATAAAATAAAAGCACAGACTGCATGTGGTATGGAATTATAATTACAGAGAGGATGTAACCTTCATTTAAACTTGTTAAATGCTCATGAAAAAAACAAATGTAAGTAGGTATGTTAAAATTTCTTAACTTCACCTAGTCTAGAAGGTGAGGGTATTTCTCAGGAATAGACTTGAGCTCCAAATTAGGTCAGCTATTTCCACCCTCAACTCCTAAAATAAAAATGATGTACTTAGGTCTGCAAATATTTTGAAACATATGAACCTAATAACTAAAAGGATTGGGATTTTGTTGAGACAGGGTCGCTGGCCTGGCACTTGCTTTATAGATCAGGCTGCCTTTGAACTCCCAGAATTCTGCCTGCCTCTGCCTCTCCAAGTGCTGGCATTAAAGGTGTACACTACCACACCAGGCCAAAGTAAGTTTTAAAAGAGACTCTGATAGGGACTTAATTGGCTTCTCCCAATTCTAATTGACTTGCCATATGGAATTTATTTGGGTAGTAGCTGTAAGATCAACAAGAGTAACATTTGTGGGGAAATATGTAGATACTTGTCGTACATGGCCTGTAATCCACCTCCTTGGGAGGCTGAGGCAGGAGATCATAAATGTGGCCAGCCTGGGCTGCATAATGAAACTATCTCAAAAATAATTTTTTAAATGTATTTAATATCCTTATAAGGCCATTTACTTCCTAAAAACATACCAAGACTAATGCTTCAGTAGTGAAGATAGTTAATTCTTAATATATTAAGGCTAAGCTAAGGCTGAAAACTCAGGGCCCTTCCCTCAAACGTGCACATACTTTAATTTCCTATCCTCAGAAAATTGTTTTCTAAAGCTACATCCATAGTCTAAAGATTGGCATGGACTCCACTTGTGTATGGATGTTGACAGTCATAGGTATAGGCAGATATATTAGCCAACTATCTGAAACAAAAAACATGACACTGGAAATGCAGCAATGGTTTCGAGTGCATGCCATACCTAACGCTCATCACCAAGAGTTCTGCCAGTGTTGTGGGAGCACATCCTTGATCTGAGGAACTCCGCTCTTGTCTGGTTACTGTAGCTTTCAACAGCTCAGGGATTGTTGTCTTGCAGTTCACTAGCAGCACTCTCAGCATGACGAGGTCGGCCAGCTCAGTATGTCTGCAGCTGGGTCCAGGGTCAAGGCGGACTCGGAACCTTCCAGGAGCAGTTTCCCATGTACAGTCCAATGCTAAGTGTTATCACCGACAGGTATTTATGAACAAAACTGTAAGGTCTTTATATAAATCTTCATATTGGACTTCTTAAATAAGGATAGAAATAATTCTGGAACTTGATAGACCAAGTCTGCTTTCCTAATGAATGTGAAAATTAAGACCCACCCCTTTATATCACAGTAGCCTTCCCTGTGATTCTAACCCTCTTAAAAAAAAAAAAAAAAAAAGAACTTTTTTAATCATGGGCATTGTATTTCTCCAGTGATACTAATTTTTCCCATGAGTTCCCCGGGATCTCTATTTCTTGGTGTTGCTTCCGTCCTTTGAAATGAAGACACAGGCTCCACACAGTCACCCTTTCCATAGAGCAGTTCCAGAGCCGGGTGCAATGGGAATGGCCTTTGGTATTAGCGAGGACACAAGATTTGTCCCATTCTCCCTGGCCTTTGTCTCTTTCCTCTAGGAGTGCAGCTGAGCAGTGACAGCTCCCTCCTAGACTTGTCCTTAGTACCATTTGTATCACTTATGCACCTCAGAAGTCCTGCCTTGGAGGTGAAGTCAACTCAAGCAAGCTGGCCATCTGGGTCTTCACTCCTCACACAGTTTATTTGCCTACATTTTTAAAAAGCTGTCCTTTTTGCATTTGTTTGTAAAACACACAATGTGGGTTCTAATACCCCAGGGTGTTTCCCAGTGCCTGACCTTCACTCATGTCTTGCCTCTATAGTTATGACTTGTGATCCAAGCTAAGGCAATCCTACCTCCCATTCCTACTAAGGAAATCAATGACTGAAACTGTACTTCTGAAAATAACTTAAAAATTAAATTTGGTAATTTTTTTTTTTGGAAAATAAAGTATGTACTCTAAAAATACTAGAGTATGTTTTGAGACACTTTGCCTGTCCCTTTCCAAATATGCCATGGGTACCCTTCATGCTACTGTCTTTCAGTAATTTAGAATTGAAGGATGGTTACATTTAACTTCTTAAGCCTATGTGGATGGGTTCCATATAAAATACACTGAGCCTACAGAAATAATCTTAGAGAACACTTAATACCACATCTCTTTATTTTTCCAACACAACTGCAACAGTTTATTAAATAAACGCTTATTGTCTACTGTTTACTTTTGGGTCCTGCTATGCATGTAATAGACAGTCCTAGTATGAATTATTCATTGTTCACTTCCACTCAACTACAGACACTGCTTGAGAACTGGATCTTGCTTTAGGGACTTGGGGAAGGGAGAAAAAGTACTCATGGGGCATCAGACTGAGTGACTGTTGGAAGTAGAAGGCATAGCCAATACAGCTGGACAGCGCTCGGCTGTCACTGGGAGGACAAATGAAAAGCAGAAGAGGAATTAGAAGCAATTGTTTCCAGTGACAGAAATAACTTCAATGCTTGATTTTTGCCCATCCAGGCTGAGTGGCAGTTTGAGGATAGGACAAATAAAGAGGGGCTGGGGAGGGAGGGTAGAGAACATGGATACGATGAGTTAAAAAAGTATAAAAATTATCTAAAATATACATTAGATATAAATGCTCCATAACTCATTAGGGAAGCTCAAAAATACTGGAAAGTGGCAATTTGCACTACATTTATTTTTAAACAAGGGAATAGTCCGTGTTCTGAATGTTGTGTGCAAAGCTAATCCACGTCACTGTCTTGCTAAGCAGATACACTGCTTCCCAGCATCATGGGCAACACTAGATGGACAGTGTCAACAAATAATGTAAACTTCAGTTTTAAGGCAGCTGGTACTAATGCTGCACACAGGCTTAGCTCGGTGCCCATTTCAGAATGGGACAATTAGCACTGAAAACAAACTGAGGGAAGAAAGGGGAACCAGCATTGTTTGACAGAAACAGTATGTCAAAGTATTTTCCCTTTCATACACGCAAAGAACTATATGAACATTTAGAAAAACAAAGCACCCATCCCTCCAACTTCAGCCTGTTCCTTAACAAATATTTCAAAATACTGATAAATAATAGTGACTGCAAGCAGAATCCCAGTGCCAGAGCCAATAGCCCCCAGGAAGTCTGCTAACACCGACAGGGCACCAATGCACAAACCCCCAAAGGCAGCTGCTGTGGGGATGTACCTGAAAGACAAAAGAACTTTCATCAGGCAGTGGGAGGGAACGGGAAGAACACAATAGCTAGAAGCAATGCAACTTCCAGTTATGCTTGAAATGGTTCCCTCTAAAGAGAGAAACTGGTCAGAATAGGTCCTTACTACTGAGACACTGTACCCAGCAGATGGGAGATTAAGGCAATGATTTCAAAACGTTAATACCTGCAAGGCAATGCAATTTTTAGGACAGATCATTAGATTTTAGACTAAAATTTATTATTTGTTATCATACAAATGTATATATTGTATATATTCATACATATGGAATATATATTGTATGTATACAAAATATACTCTGTATGTACATATATGTTACAGTGTATATAAAGTATATTTTTTCAGACATGTCTATAGCCTCAAGATGGCCTAGAAATAGCAATCCACCTGCTTCAGCTTCCAAGTGCTGAGATAAACTACCATACCTGACTAAAATATAGGGTTTTTTGTTTAGACTGGATCTCATGTAATGAGGGCTGGCTCTGAACTCATCCAACCTCCACTTCCAGTGTTTCAAGATCAGAGAGACCTGTGCCATCACATCTGACTAAATTATGTAATATTCTTAAGTAGGTATCCTTTAAGTTCCCTCTTGTAGGGTAAATAAATTTCAAACCAGGCATATATGTAAACACAGAGGCAAAACACTCATCCACATCAAATAATTGAAGATAGGCACATTAGTGCCAGTTCAAGAAACTGCTGAGCAAATGAGCAATGGACACACAACTGAGTTACACTGTACTGGTTTGGTACTCATTAGGTAGCCCAGGCTGGCCTTGAACTTGTGGCAATCCTGAGCCTCCCAAGTGCTCAGGTTAAAGATGTGGACTATATATTTCAACTGGATATATTAAGTGGTATATGAATTTTTTTTTCCAAGACAGGGTTTCTCCGTGTAACAGCCCTGGCTGTCCTGGAACTCACCCTGTAGACCAGGCTGGCCTCGAACTCACAGAGATCTACCTGCCTCTGCCTCTCAAGTGTGCCACCCATGCCCGGCTGTGGTATATGAATTATCTCAATAAAGCTGTCACCAAATACCTAAGGCCTGGGAACAAATCTTGTTTCCTGGATGTGAGGGTACCAGTGTTTTACGTGTCCTTGGTGGCTCATGTGCAGCCAGCCGACACTGAGAACTGCTGCTATGCGGTATTCTAACCCTGAAGTGTGAGCTGTGAAAGCACAGTTTCAATTTAAAATTATATAGGCTGCCTCAACAAAGCCTGTACAAGGACAACACCAGTAGACATGCTAACACAGAAGGGGCCCCAACCCTAGACAAACAACTATAGGCAACTAAGGAATACCGAGAGCAGGAGAAGATAGCCTTCCCCGGGGAAGAGCCCCAATTGGTTACCCAATACCAAATGGTCAGCTCTAAAATCATGTACATATAAATAACACTATCAAGACTGAGCAGACTGCTGATATATTTAGGAATGAGTATATATATACATATATAGATATATAGATATATATACATACACACAGGAGTGTGTGTGTGTGTGTGTGACAAAAATGAGGCAAGATGCTGTGAACTGAAGACATAGCAGGTGGGGGGAGTACTCTGGAGGGGAGAAAGGGAAAATATTTTCAAAAAATTTTTGAAGATTATAAAAGGGCCAATTTTTATGTGGAGAACAATTCAGATTTAGTTAAATTTTAGTTCTCTTGTGAAGAGTAGAAGACTATGACTCTGAATAAAGCAAAGAGCCTTATAGATTTAAGAAATGACCTTGTGAGCTTACCTGTTCAGCTCGTGGACCATGGAGGTATCTCTGTGGCCTCTCATCACCATCTGCTGCTCTTTAAGCTGCTTAGCCACCTGGCCGAGAAGAAAGAAAAACTTGAAATTAAACTCCTCACATTTTGTTGCTTGCTACACTGAAAATATGAGAGCCTATACACTGGCATTGTATCGCTCATATAAACATAGGGAAAATGAGGTCTCAGTCCTGCCAAGCATATGCCAGCCATACCTTACATCTTTACTCTCAGCATTTGTGTTTGTTTTTTGAGACAGGGTTTCTCTGTCTAACAGCCCTAGGTGTCCTGGAACTCACAGAGCTCCACCTGCCTCTGCCTCCCGCGTGTTGGGATTAAAAGCTGCTCTCAGCATTTTTTTGTATTAGCTCTGTAAAGAGGAACTGAATACTAGAGAAAACGTTTTTTGAGTCGAACTGAATTTTGGAGGATCACAAAGCCCCAAATAAGAGTTCAGAAGAACCAATTTTTAGCCTGTTAAGGACAGGTCTAAGAATATATGAACAAAGCTAAAAACTATAAAAGTAACTTATTTTGGCACCCAAATACTATGACTTTTACAAAAGGTTTTTTTTTTTTTTTTAAATTTTTATTTTATGTTCATTAGTGCTTTGCCTGCATGTATGTCTGTGTGAGGCTGTCAGAAGCCTTGGAACTGGAGTTACAGACAAGTATGAATTGTGCTGAGAATTGAACCCAGGTCTTCTGGAAGAGCAGCCAGTGCTCTTAACGGCTGAGCCATCTCTCCAGCCCCACATAATATTTTTAACTAGTCACATACTTACATCTTTGGCTGAGGAACCAGACACTTCTATCCATGTCTTAGAAAAGAATGCACATGATCCCAACATGAAGATGATGTACACAACCACATGGACAGGATCCTCAAATATGGCACCCATGGACTCAGGAGGAGATAGGTAGTAACAAAGGCCTCCAACAGGGTAAGAACGAGCAGGTCCTCCCCCACTGACATCCTATCAAACAAGAATAAAAAAGAACAAATGGTCAACCAGACTAGTTGAGAATACTAGGGTTTTGGTTTGTTGTTGAGGATTAAACCCAGGGCCTTGAATGTTAAGCATGTACCATACAATAAATTGCACCATAAACCTTAAGATTTGTCTCCATTTTGAGATGAGGTCTCACTATGTTGCCCAAGATGACCCCAAACTCTTGAAGTGATCTCCTTCCTGCTTTAGCTTCCTGAGTACTTGAGATTATAGCTGTCATGACCATATATATGTTTGAGTTTTTCAAAATTTATGATGGTTTAACTTTTTAAAAAAGAAGCTTTGCTATTATTATGTGAGTATAAATGATGCCTGTGGGTTGGTATGTGCAGTATGGCTCAGTGCATACGTGGAGGTCAAGGGACAACTTTGTGGAACTAGTTCTCTCCTGACATCCTTCCATGGAATCTGGGGATCAAACTAGTGTTAGACTTCCACAGCAAACACCTTTACCTGCTGAGCCACTTCACCAGCCCAGGATGTTTTGAAACACCTACAGCCAACAAGCCCATAGAATCTAGGGAGTTAACTTTGCATCCTTCATTCCTTCAAAATTATGTACTTTATTTTGTGCGAGACACTTGGCACAGATCATTAACAGAAGAATGAGTTTTAAAAAATATAGATCTATGAAATCTGGAGGATAGAAATACAATTTATAATTAATCTGATTATATTTAGAATCTGAATGTTTAAACTCTAGAGATGACCATTGCATTTTTCAGTATTAAGAAAACAATCATGTGGGGCTATAAGATGTCTCTTATAGACATTGGCTGCTCTTTCAGAGGACTAGGGTTCAATTCCCAGCACCTACATGGCAGTTTACAACTGTCTGTAACTCCAATTCCAAAGGATCTGACACCTTCATATAGACATACATACACGCAAAACACTGATCAATGTTCATAAAAAAATAAAAGTAAAAAAAAATTTTTTAAATAAAAGAATACAATCAGGCTTTAATCCCAGCACTCAGGAGGCAGAGGCAGATCTGAAGCCAGCCTGGTCCACAGTGAGTTCCAGAACAGCCAGGGCTATACACTCAAGCTTCACTGAGGCAGGCAGCCTGCCTCCTCAGCCTGGGCTGTAGCGTGAGACCATGTCTCTAAACAAGGACTATAGAACAAAAATCACTTTTGTGAAAGCAACACTGATTTTTAGCCTAAAAAACTGTTCAAATGATATATGAAAATGCTTTCCATATAGTCAAATATTAAAAACTACCTGGCCAGCTGGGCAGTGATGGCTCACACCTTTAATCCCAGCACTGGGGAGGATCTCTGTGAGTTCAAGGCCAGCCTGGTCTACAAAGTGAGTTCCAGGACAGGCTCCAAAGTTACAGAGAAACCCTGTCTCAAGAAAAGAAAAAACTACCTGGCCAATCTTACTCTTACAACATTTATCAAATTTTCCAAATAACAAAATGGTACAGGTAAATAAATTCCAAAATGCTTCAATATCTATCTCAGTCAGTTGAAAATACAACTATAAAACACCAATTTTAAATATTTAATAAAAATAAACATACTCACGGCCCACTGTCCTAGTAAGTTTACTAAGAAGTTGCCACTAAATCGAACAGACAGCATCTGGGAAATGACATACAAGTTTGAAACTAGGGCAGACTGGAGGATTATGGGAATATTCGATGTGTAGAATAGCTTGATGGGATAGCTACTGTACTGTCCTCGATACCGGGCCGACTTAATGGGCAAGTCAACACGAAACCCCTGAAAAGGAAGTCGAGAGAAGAGGAACTGCATGTCAGGGCGCAGACAGAGGAAGGGTGGCAGCAGAGAGTTGACAAACCAGCGATAAATCTGCCCCTCCCCAAAGACCCCTTTTCTCCAATTTCATAGCCAGTATTTCCCACCTTCAAATTTGGGTTGACTGGTTCTTGAAAAACTGACTATGCCATCCTTTCAAACAGCATTACTTTTACAAGAACAATAAGCAGTTTCACCAATGAAAAGGTCATTCTTACCTGGAAATATATGACAACAGCAAACACGAACACTGTGGCAATGAGGTTCATGAGATTGGGGAGGTTCTGCCGATAGAAGGCCTCCCTCAAGGCTCGGACTTTGTCTGTCCTGGTGGCCAACAAATGAAATAGAGCTATGACTGCACCCTCAAACTCCGTACCTGAGAAATCAAGACAGAAATGAACTGTGGATGCCTCTTCCAAAGTCACCTCAAAAGTCTAAACAAATAACTTGAACCTCGAGTCAACTGACCAATTTATGACTCTATATTGTATCTATGTTGTATGGCTTTATGGCATAGCCATGTGTGTGGGTTCTAAACATAGTTCTATCATGGAGGCAAGTGTCAACATAAATCTGCAATTTTCACTCATAAAGGTTTGCCTCTCCTTTACTCTAGGGAAAAGAAGGAAGTACTTTTAGGGATAATAAAAGCAGCAGCAAAGCAGAATAAAAATGTCAGAATCAGAGCAGGTATGTTTATCTACCATGCTTGCCTTTAGTTGACTGCACCAAGAAGGTTAATAAATTATCAGTACTATTTTCTTAAGTCTGGGGTCAAAGTTAGACATTGACTACTTAGGACAGGATGACAATAAGAAGTGGAAAGGGATGCGGGAAAAACAGAGTGAAATCTTTCAAATCTCAGATGCTATTACAAAGCCAGTTAGAGAGGCAAGGGTATGAGTGCTCTCAGAGGACGGCCAAATCGTAATCCACTACCTTTCTGTCCCCCCGTAAGGCTGCAATCGGGGAGGTAAATGACTCTGGCAGCAATGGCTTAAGCAAGGTCAACCAAACTGTAATACTGTTTGCAACCACTGGAACTTTGAACGAGCAGAGGTTAGGATGCACTCTCTTGGACTTACTACTGCATACTTCACACATCTCTGCTCGCTGAGTTTTAACAGTTAGCACTCGTGGTCCCCTAGGGTGGCAAACTGAGTGGCTCCAGGCATGTGCTGCTGCATTATTGACTCATTTTCAGCATACATCCAGCAAAACTCGTGCAGTTGCAGTCACTGTGCAATGTACCTCTGCCAGTGTTAATGGTAGTGGGACTAAAGGCCTTCCAGACAATGGTTTCACAGATGTTGGTGGCAATAAAGAGGGAAATACCAGACCCCAAGCCGTAACCCTTCTGTAGCAGCTCATCTAACAGCAGCACAATCAAACCAGCAACAAACAACTGTGGGGAAAGAAATGCACGTAAGCGGAAGCAAGAATCAACTCAGGAAGGGGCAGACGAATGGCTATTTCACAGTCTGTGCATGCCCAATACCAGACCTACGCATGGCTCCTCACCACTGCAGCAGCTGCAGCTTCTGACCTGCTCTAGTCTAGTTGGGCCAGTTCTAAAAATCAAAGGACTGCTGCCTCATTACATAGCGAACATTTCACCACAGAATTCTTTTTACACCAGCTTACAGTGTTTAAATTGTGCCCATGGTGGGGGGCACTAAATAATAATCACAGCTTGGAATTTGAAAGGAAGAAACAAAATATTACAAATACCTCCATGTAAGTAAAAGGCCAAATAAATTACAGAAAAATTAAAAGAGATTCTTCACTCCCTAAGGGATAAGAATAAGATTGACATTTTTTATAAAGTATTACATATATCTTCTATATAATATAATACATAGAGAATAAGCCAAAAACTAGAGCACAGCTGAATATACAATTTGTACTATAAAAATTCATGCTATACTTATTATGACCAAGATTGCATTGAAAAGTTAAGATTTCACCATGTTTTCTAGTTCATCATTTTCGTTTTGTTTTGTTTTGTTTTTGGAGACAGGGTTTCTCTGTGTAACAAACAGTCTTGGCTGTCCTTAAACTCTGTAGACCAGGCTGGCCTCGAACTCACTGAGATCCACCTGGCTCTGCCTCACAAGTGCTGGGATTAAAGGCATGCACCACCACCACCTGGGTCATTTTTTTTTTTAAATGAAAACATACTAATTTTAGCTATGGCTATTCTTGGAGAAGATACATTATAAAAACATGTACCATAGTGTCAGTCATGTGGCTGACTGGAATAACCTAATCGAGAGGGAAATAAGGCATGCTTGTGAGCCCCAACCTTACTACCTCACAGGACTCCCTACTCTACACTCCCCTACAGAAACAAGGAAGTAGTTCCAATTCCTCCCAGATCAAGGAACCCACCCTGATTACATACTTTACCTATTATCACCTGTCAATGAACACATCAAACTGCATTATACCATCTGAGCATGCTTACCTTACACACTGTAGTTGGTTTTTTTTTTGTTTTTGTTTTCTTAACTATCATTTCGCTTATATGAAACCTGTCTTTTTGTTTTGTTTTGTTTTCGGTTTTTGAAGACAGGGTTTCTCTGTGTAGTTTTGGTGCCTGTCCTCGAACTCACAGAGATCCGCCTGGCTCTGCCTCCCGAGTGCTGGGATTAAAGGCATGCGCCGCCACCACCTGGCCTAATTTGTCTTTTTAAAGTTTCTAGTTTGAATATCCAACAACTGGAAAAGGGACATAATTCTCAAACTCCTAAGAGAGGTCATGAGAACCTTCTTCTGTTTGAAAATCAAATTTGACATTTTGACAAGGGAAGAGAGAAGTTAGGGCTGGGTTTTATTTTGAGTACAGTTAGGTAATGAGCAAGTTGAGTATTCCCAGTCACAAATACAGCAACCCATTCCCACTGAAGGGGAGAGTACCTACTCATAAATCAGCCAGTCATGGTTCTGATAGCTAAATGGTCTGTCCAAAGACACAAGCAGTCCTACAATAACTGAGGTCTCCTGTGCAGAATAATGCTGGCCTCCAGAGTAGTTCATGAATACCTTTTGAAAATGAGACCTCTTTTCCCAGGAGGAGTAAGAAAGTATAAATAAATCTAAATGAGAAATAGTTTGTGCAATTTGAGGACTAGGAGAAAAGATAGCAAAAAACCATGTATGCTTATGAAAGAGGCAGCAGACAATGACAGCAGCATCTCCATGAAGCCCAGTGAGAACTGACCCGTGACCAAGCAGACATGTGGAATGCACACCATGAACCTCTGAGTGGGTGTAAACTGGATGTCAACCTTGGGCAGGCATACTCGCTCCACTTAGTTTGACAAAACATACTTACCTTTACTATGTGCCATTCACAATGACACTTTCTAGTTAGTTTTTAATTTCAATCAAGACCCAATTTAGATTTCAAATTCAATTAGTGGAAAGAGCACTATGTGAGTGAAACAGAAACAAAGTGAGAAATACCTTCCATAACAGCATGCAAACAGTTCTCAAAAACCTATGTTTCTAGGTGAACACACACTGATCCAATCATAGCTCTTCAGTGTAGCCACATAGTCTCAATGTTAGCAAGCCCTTGAAAAGACACAAATGGGTCACTGCCCACCAACAATCAAACACGACATTTTTCTTTATACATTAACACTAAAAGAGTTCATCACAACACCGATATTTATATACCAGAAGTTATGTCAAAAAGCTAATACATATTTGCTCATTTCATTCTTAGAAATAATGAGATTTCTGATTGTGCAAAAGAAAGATTGAAATAGCCTGAAGTGCTGTAAAAGCTACCTCACCCAACCAGCCTAGAGCTGCTAAACTACATTCCGTGACTCTAAGCTTTTGGAAGGTCCCAGAGAAGTTACACTGGTACAAAATGTTCTGAGGGCTTGGTACTAGTTCTGAATGTCTTTTTAAAAAGAATTCAAGGCTACTTTATGCTAAGGGAGTATTGCTGTAGTAGTGTATATTTAGTGTTTTCAAGGCCCTGGATTCAATCCTCAACTCCAGAAGAAAACAAAAATTAAAACAAAAAACAAAAAACAAAACAAAACAAAACAAAACAAAAAAAACCACCATAAAACTTTATTTGCTGCATAAAGCAAATGCTTTAAAACAGTGGTCGTCACAGGGCAGCAGTGGTGGCACACGCCTTTAATCCCAGCACTTGGAAGACAGAGGAGGCCAGCCTGGGCTACAAAGTGAGTTCCAGGACAGCCAGGGCTGTTACTTGGGGAAGCTCTGTCTCAAAAACAAAAACAAAAAAGCAGTGGTTCTCAACCTTTCTAATTCTGTGACTCTTTGCTACTGTTATGGATTGTAATATAAATATCTGATATGCAGAATTTCTGATATTTGACTTGTGTGAAAGGGTCATTCGACACCCCCGCCATGGGGTCATGACCCACAGGTTGGGAACCACTGCTTTAAAGAAACCAAACCAAGCTTGAGGTTCTATGGATAACATCCTCAGCCCTGCACCAGCATCTGAAGAAACCCTAAGCACTGAAGGATACTAAGTCAGGGTCCAGAGGATTCTTCTCTGCCCATCCTCTGCATCTCTCTCTTCTCCAGCTCCCAATGGCTATGTCAAGCAAGTATTTGTAAATGGAGAAATAAAGGAACTATTATTCTCTTGGGAAACACATCTTATACTGGAAGAGAATGCACTAGGCCTCAGCAAGTTACCAAAGACTCAATAATACATTAAAAATCCTGTCCTAGAGCACAAACAAAATAGTTACAACCCATTGATGGGCATCCTTATTAATCACGTCAACAGATTCTTGATAATTTAACTCTCTGTCCTGAGTCAGGCTCACTGAATACTCTTTCTTATTTTACTTGCTTCCTATATAAGGTTTATTTTTTTAAAAAAATAAATTATGCACATCTGAGATAGTCATATTTCTCAAATACTGGCATTTGAGACTATTTCAAAAATATTTTCTGAAATTGATCTTTTGAACTATTAAAAAAGAAAAACCCTAAATTAATTCTAATTTCATATAATAGATAAAATGAATTTCCACAGTAACCAGGATCCCAGTAGACATATTTTATTAACATAAAACTTTAAAAAGAAAAAAACTCTTCTGAACATTATACACACTCAAAATATGTTGGTCTTTTAAAAGTTCTACTCCAAAATACTCATTTTGGAACTCCATGGGGGGCTGGGGTGGAGCTAAACTGGCAGTTGCCTACTATGCACAAGCTCTAGGTTGGATCCCTAGTACTGCAGAAACCAGATAATGGTTTATGGGTAATGCTAGCACCTGGGACATGGGGTCGGAGGACCAGAAACTGAAGGTCATCCTCAGCTCAGCTACACACTGAGTGTGAGGCCAGTCCAGGCTATATGTCACTGTCTCAAGTAAATACATAAATAAATACCTCCATAGAACACTTGTACATGAGTATATATGGTATTTTGCAGGCACTACAATTATTTAGAGCATCATGGTTTTGCATTCCACCAAGGAAGAAAAGAATAGTTAGATGCCTTGGTACACACCTAAAATCTGAGCACTCAGGATGAGAGAGGATTCCAAGTTTGAAGCCTGCCAGTTAAACTATGACAAAATATCTTATTACAACAACTTAGGTATTTCAGACTTAGCTGCTTTTCTGTAGACTACATGTTTCATTTCAGTAACAATTTAATGTCGCATAGCTTGTTTCTAATTGGTGGTTCAAGAACTCCTCCCCTGCAGCCTCCCAAATAACTCACGCTAGAAGTCTGTACCACCGTGCTGGGTTTTCCGAGGTGACTTCAGCCAACAAGTAACCTCAGATATCTACTATACCAACAGTGCATAGAGTAACCAACAGCGAGGCTGCTAATCTCAGCAGCTTTGTCCAAGCCGACAGCCACAGAAGGGTGCTGCGTGCCCCACCACTGCCACCTGGCTGACAACAGCAGGAATGCACTGTTAACTGAGGGAATACAGCAGGATTTCAGAGACATCAGAATGTGGAAAAAGCATAACAAAGAACAATCATGGAGAGATATCCATAACTCTTCAAGTAACAGACTATGAAGCTATTAGAATAAACTTTTTTTTAAATCAAAACAACATATATGTCATTTCAGTAATAATATTGTAATTAAATAAAATAACTCAGAAGAAAATGATTCTACCATTCACCTAAAGAACTGTTGGACAAAAGGGACCGAACTTGTATTAGCATATGAAAACACAGTATGTCTTACCTGTATGATGATAAGGAGACAGATGCCAGCACCCATTTCCGCAGGGTCCCCGTACATCCCCGTCATGACATACACAATGGCTTGCCCAATGGTAATGATCATACCAAATACTGACAAAAAAGGAGTACATGCTTACAACCAAAGACAAGAAACAACACAACCAAAAAGCTATAGGGACATCTTTCCCACAAACATCCTCAAATTTGGATAAAGCTCTTTAATTGTATTATTGCTCACGTTTCTGGGCTCCATTGAACAGAGCTCTATCTTTGGGTGTATCTCCAACTTCAATGATTTTGGCTCCAGCTAACAACTGCATAATCAAACCAGATGTTACAATTGGGGAAATACCCAATTCCATCAATGTTCCTGTAAAGGAAGGAAAATGAGTAAACAACTTCTATACCTAATACAGATCAATTTAAATCATCCCACTCCTAAACAACACTTAATAAATGTGTTTAAATATTAACAAATTTCCACTGATTCCTTAAACATTAATAAAAGATCATTTATTAGCAAACCAGCAACAATGCAATGGATAAAAAGTGCTATTCCATAATAATTTTAATTTCTATAAATTGTAAACTTAAAATACTAAGTCTTCTTTAAAAGAAACCTTCTGGGACTGGCAGGTACAGCAAAGCTGTAGATAGCATGAGGCTCTGGGTTCAATATCCAGCTTCGGAGCAGAATAAAAAGATGTCAAGGCTAAGAGGCCAGGGGCCAGCAAGATGACTATGTTAGTAAAGGCACTGCCACCAAGGCCAACACCCTGAGTGCAACTCCCAGCAGCCACATGGTGCAAGGCGGCAACTCGCTCCTGAAAGTTGTCGTCCAAACTCTAAATTCACGCGATGATATGCAAGCGCACATACACAAATACATTTTAACTGTTGCGATATAATATAGCTTTGTGATAGAGTGCCATCTAACATGTAAAGCCCTAGTATTTAATTACCAGCAACACAAAATTTAAAAAAATAAGTAAACAGAGGTGGGGTGTAGGTAGAGTACTTGCTTGGAAATGTAAAGCTTTATATTCCATCTCCAGCAAAGAGAGGGAGGGACAGAGGGAGAGAAAAAGCGAGAGCTTCCAAGACTTCTGTCTAAATCATTGTTTTTAAAACTTACACTAAAATTGGGGGTTATTTAATATTTTATCATATTTATTTACTTATTATACTCTATTTTCTCTTCAGATCATACAAACCTTTCACCTTTTTTTTTTTTTTTCTTTTTTTTTGGTTTTTCGAGACAGGGTTTCTCTGTGTAGCTTTGCGCCTTTCCTGGAACTCACTTGGTAGCCCAGGCTGGCCTCGAACTCACAGAGATCCGCCTGCCTCTGCCTCCCGAGTGCTGGGATTAAAGGCGTGTGCCACCACCGCCCGGCTTCACCTTTTATTTATTTACACTATTTAGTGTTTGAGAAAGTGTGTGTCTGGGCTCACACCTGACACAGCGCGTATGTGGAGGTCAGAGGGCAACTTGTATTCCTTTAGTTCTCGTTTTCCACCATGTGGGTCCTGGGGAATACACCCTCAGATCATCAGGCTTGGTGGCAAGTGCCTTAACCTTGCTGAACCATCTCACCAGACCCTATTTGCTTCTCTGACAGAGGCTTGGTATTTACACCAGGCTAGCCTCAAACCACATACATGGCTAGAGATGACCTTGAAGTTTCAATTCTCTTGCCTCCAATTCCTAAGTGCTAAGATCACAGGTGGGTACATCCTTAGGAGGCTCAGGATGTTGCTTCATGTGCTACTCTACACTTAGCAGGTGGTACATCATAATAACTCAAGAAATGCTTGTTGAATCAGTGATGAAATAAATTACATTATAGCCTCATACTGGAATATGCCCATTAAATGAAGTAACTCATTAAAAACATTTAAAAAAAAAAAAAGACAAGTACATATAAATGTGTGAATATATAGATTTGGGTATATATGTATATCATATCTTTCGAACATATAAATTTAAATGTAAATGAATATGTAACAAAAAGGTCTGGATGAATATTTGAAATTTATCAACATCCCAGGAACATGCATCATATATATTTTGATGCATTTTTATAAATGTTGATGCACTGAAACAATAATAAACCTTCCAAGCAGCAACTGCATAGACCAGTGTGCTATGCTCAACCTTGATAAAAGTCGCTCCTCTCTACAGGGAAGAGGGCTTATACAGAGACAGATGGCTGGCCAATGTGCTAGAAACAAGTGACGACTGAATGTTCAGCCTTCAAGAGGAAGAACCCTATTACCACCACCATCCCCATGCTCAGAAAACATCTCAGAAAAAGAAGAAAGCTGTGAAATGCTGTAGTATGTACATGTTATGGCCATGGCACTCATTAACCCACAGCAGATACAGAGCTTGTCTGCACAATACTGAACCACTGAACATTTGTCCTCAGTGATATAGCCACTGTGACTTACTCATGTTCCAGTGGATAGCTCCACACCCATGCCCTGGTTAAGCCCACTAGGTCACGAAGCAAAAATAAAAACAAGATGGCTTGAGAGATGGCTCAGCAGTTAAGAATACTGGCTGCTCTTCCAGAGGACCTCAGTTTGATTCCCAGCATCCGAACGGTAGCTCACAACTATCTGTAACTCCAATTCCAGAGGATCTTGTGCTGGCCTCTGTGGGCACTAGCCATGCATGTGGTGCATAGACATATATCCAGGCAAAACACCCATAAATATAAAAATAAACTAAAGAAAGAAAGAAAAAAGGGGGGGGGGGAGACATGAAAATGGGATGGGACTTGATGGGAGGATGGGGCTAGTAGGGATGGGGGGGGGTTGGTGAGTGTAACCAGAATATATGAAACTATTAATGAATTTGGGGGGGGAAAAAAGGAGAGGGTGGTGCTGATGAGATGGCTCAATGATTAAAGGCTTTGTGGCAAGCCTGGCAACCTGAGTTCAATCCCTGCAACCCATGTAAAAGTGGAAGGAGGGATCAGCTCCACCAAGTTGTCCTCTGACCTCCATATGCTCATTGTGACGTGTGTGAAAATACATACAAACACGCACTTTTAATAAGTAAATAAACCAATATTACTCCTATATCTAAAACTACCAAAAAACCTGCCATCTGGCCAAAGCATTTCCCTCAAACATGCACTCACCAATTCTAAAATTCAAGAGGCCTCCCTGACGCTGAAAATCAGGAGATTTTAATAAGGAAAAACTCATAGGATATGGTTGAGGAGATGGCTCAATGGGTAGAGCTCAGGGCACAAGCTTTAGGTACAGAGTTCAGATCTCCAGCACCCACACAAACACCAAGCTGGTGTGGTGGCCCACCTGTAATCCAAGCTCTCAGGATACAGACATGAGTTGTCTAGAGTAAGCTGGCTAGCTAGACCACCACAACGGGCAAGCTCTGGACTCAAATTAGAGATCCAACCACAATACATAAAGTAAGTTGGGCATGATGGCACATACCTTTAATCCCAGCACTTGGAAGGCAGAGGCAGGAGGATACTTGAGATTTCCAGGCCAGCAAGGGTTACATAGTGAGACACTGTCTCAAAAATATATACAGTAGAGAGTGACTGAGGAAGACTCTAGTCAACCTCTGACCTTCACTGTGTACATACACATATATGTGACCACACACATTTAGACACACACACATACAAAACACATACAATAAACTCAGTGTTGTCATTATTTCAAGCTGGTTTCTCCTCCTAAGCAGTGGGTTTCTGTTCTAGCTCCCCCATATAAAGCTATAAAACAGATGCTTGCTGGCAGGATGGAGGTCAGAAGTGCATACCTCTGTTGGATGCAAGAATAACTCTCATCCAGTAGAAGGGATCTGCAGAATCCGATGACATAATCCCAAACAGCGGAATCTGAAACATCATATAAAACACTTTAAGAAATGACAAGGGCGCTCTTAATTTAAAATGCACTTGCTTATGACAATGCCTGTTAGCTACTTCTTATGATTTCTAATAAGACAAGCTTACTTTAAAGTCTCTAACAAACACCAGAGATCATTACTTAGTAAATACTCCTGTAAGTACAGAGGAATATGCCTAACACTGCTATACATTTAAAAGTAGCAAAGAATATCAACTTTGTTATTTTTTCACCACAATTTAAAAAATACTCCTAACAGATTAACACATGTATTTGTCAAGGCATGTAACAACTTTGCAAAACTTAGGGTATTCACCAACTAGAATGACCACAATCATGATTTAAGATCCAAGGAGATGTATAGACCTGGAATAGTATGCCACCACTAAGAACAATGCCTATGAAATTGTCATCATATTGTAACATAAATGCTTCCTCAAGCTAAGAATAGAATATTGGTTCTCAATCAGGCATGATTTTCCCTTCAGGAGAACATTTGAAAGTAGTTGCATAGCGCACACCTTTAATCCCAGCACTCGGGAGGCAGGGGCAGGTGGATATCCGTGAGTTTGAGGCCAGTCTGGTCTACAGAGTGAGTTCCAGGACAGGCTCCAAAGCTACACAGAGAAATCCTGTCTCAAAAGAAAAAAAGAAAAGAAAAGAAAAAAGTAGTTGCAAACATATTTGGTTGTCACAACTTGGTGGAGCAGGGTAATATTGGTACCTAATGAGCAGACCCAGGAACAGCTCCCACCAAAGGAAGATGTTGCCTAAAATTCAGTAGTACCAGTATTAAGAAATTCTGGAATAAAACTAAAATTCAAAATTGTATACAGTATAAGTTCAAAACTAAAAAAAGTACAGAAAATAATACTGGAAAAACATCCTTTTAAGTGCTAAATACTGATTATATCTAAGAGGTAAGATTATGATTGCTTTTTCTTCCTTATTTTTTTTCAGGAATTATCAAATATTCTATCATAAGACATCATCTCCCACCCAGTTGTTTTGATAAGGTCTTTCTCTGTAATGCAAACTAGTCCACAACTTGCTATGTAGCCCAGGATAGCCATGAATTTGGAGCAATCTAACACACTCAGAAACACATTAACTTTTAATGAGAAATAAACAAACAAAAGCCCTTAGCTAGACCTGGTGGGTCACACCAGTAATCCCAATACTTAGATAGGAGGATTGAGGCAGGAGTATTACTACAAACAACAGCAGAAAGAAAAAAAGAGAGAAAGGGAAGGAAGGAAGGAAGGAAGGAAGGAAGGAAGGAAGGAAGGAAGGAAGGAAGGAAGGAAGGAAGGAGGAAAAAAAATCTTTCAATTTTGCCCATGATAGGACTCTTGTTTAGTTTCCTTACCATAGTGGGGAAGAACCAAGGGCCTGGCACATGCTATATCTCTGGGCTCTATCTCCATGCCAATCCGCATATAAGACACAGCATTTAGTGATACCTCCTTCTTAAACATATATTCCTTTCTCAGTGCAGATTCAGCACAAAGAAAATTATATTGCTAATTTCAAAGTCTATAGTGACTGAGGAGATAGCTCAGTTGTTAAAAGTGCTTTCCACACAAGCATGAGGATCTGAGTGAGTTAAGGTTCCCAGTACCAATGAAAAGAACCATGTGCCAGTGCATGCCTGTAACCACAAGGCATGAAGGAGCAGAGACACAGGGATGCCTGTGGCCTGTTTACCAGGCTCTCTAGCTAAGCAGGAAGCCATAGACCTCTATACCTGCACACACACAATAAATGCAAAAACAAAAACTGTAAAACAATTTTAAAATGTTTTTAAGTTCCAAAATATGCTGCCAGAAATTTTAAGTGCCTGAATCTCTGGGATATTTGAACCTTGTTAAGCTAGGCGACAGAACTGGTAACACGGGAGGCAGAGCTAGTCTGTGTACACCCTGTGTCCGTGAGAAGTGAGGAGTACGGAAGTCACTGTGTAGGGAGCCACTAGCACTACAGGACAGTCCCTATCTGAGGCCCCTGGAACAGAACCCTCTATATTTCCTCTGGAGCTCTTGGATTGAGTCCTTAAATGTCCAAATAAGTCATTAAGTTTATTTTCTATAAAGTCTTTCTTTTAACAAACCTGACAAAATAGTAATACGATACAGTACTCTGGAGAACCCAAACACTCCATGTTCTAATGGACACCTGAGCTAACCATATGGAGATACAGAAAATGAGCACTAGAAGTCTTCAAAAGCAGTGGGAAGTCAAAGCTAAAGAAGGCACGTCTGGGATGGGACTGCATGTTGCAGGCCTGGAATGTGGCTTGGTATTTGCCTAGCATGCTCAAGGGTCAGGGTTCACCCTCAGTGCTGAAAATGAACAAGATGGCAAGTTGCAGTTACATTAGGGTACTTTCCCCCTCTGGCACATAACAAAACACAAACATGAAAGAATAAAAGCTAATGTAAATTTTAAAAAGCTGGAGGAAAAGGGAAAAAAATCTCCAAAGTGGCTGTGATGTTAAGCTTGACTGTTAACTTGGTAGGATTTAGAATCACCTAAGAAACAACTCAAATAAGTCTACAAAAGTATTTTTAGAGACATTTAACTGAGGAAGAAAGAGCTCTCCTGAAAGTGGGAAAACCACCCCATAGGCTGGGTCACAGAGTCAAGCAGGCTGAGCATCAGCATCATCTCTCTCTGCTTCCTGACAGCAGACACAATATGACTGGCCACCTACGCTCCTGTCACCACACCTTTCTGCCACTGTGGACTGAACTCTCAAGCTGTGAGCCACACTAAAGCATCCCTTTCTTCAGTTGCTTCTGTCTAGTGTTTTGTCGCAGCAATAAGAAGAGTGACTAATAAGCCACTACACAAGAAAAAGGTGGTAGATTCAAAGCACCACTAGCCACGGTGCAGCCTACCCAAGAAGATCAATAGACAGCTCCTACCTATTACCATGCGATGCTAACAGTCCCCCAGAATGCCGACTAACATTCCAAATGTGGAGAAGGAAACTACAGACTCCTTCATTCTTCCTTTTCATGAAGAGAAAGGAGAAACCGCAGCTGAGAAGGAAGGGAAGGGAAGTTGAGCGATGAGGGTGAGTCTGTGGGATGGAACTCAGATTGTGGGACTATGCTAAATTTAAGAACTGAGGGACAATCAGAGCCTAGAATGGAGAATAGACCTCCACAGTTAGCTTGTGAGAAGCTTTCAAGACAGCCGAAGGGGGGAAAAAATCAAAGCAGAGCCTTGGAAGCATCTAATGTAATGATCTCAGCTTATCTCACCTCCCACCATTCCCTCAAGCTAGAGAAAACTGGCTAGAACTTGTTTTATGTTCAGTTGAAATCACCCACACTGGGCAGATCTGCCCAAACGTGAGAAAGACAAAAAGCAGCCATTTAGCAACTATATAAACACAGGGAAACTAGGTAACACAAAGGCGTAAGTGGGCCACAGCATGAGCCATTCCTGAGAAACAGCACTGGTTTCTAGATAGAAATGTTGGGGGGGCGGGCATTTTTTGTGCTGGGAGACTGAATGTGGGGCTTACATAATAACCTAGGCAAACACCCTAAGGAATCAGGAGAGGGAGTGTTTTTTGTTTTGTTATCATTTTACCTTTAGAGACAGGATCTCTCTACGCTGTCCAGGCTTCCTTTCAACTGGAGACCCTCCTGCCTTAACCTCCAGAGGAGCTAAGATCCCAGGCCAATGACACTAGGCCTGGAGGTCATTCTTCTATTTATGTTTCCTTCTTGGGATCTGGGTAATGATTTAAGACCCAAAATTCCACTCTGTACTTTTACAGGTTAACGTTTGCTGACCACTATATTAGAAGATTCAGTATTTTCAAGATGACAATTCTCATAAATCAACCTAAAAATTCTCATAAATCAAACTAAAAAGTCAAAGCTGCATATATATCTCATATCCCTAATGGATTTTCTTACAAAAATACACACAATGACTCTAGCTGTTTCTATGGAAATATAAAGGACCTAGAGTTGGTCCTTCTCAATAAAGAACAAAGCTGCAGAACTTTTCCTAACTTACCAGTTTAAGAATGTAATGTCAGCCGGGCGGTGGTGGCGCACGCCTTTAATCCCAGCACTCGGGAGGCAGAGCCAGGCGGATCTCTGTGAGTTCGAGGCCAGCCTGGGCTACCAAGTGAGTCCCAGGAAAGGCACAAAGCTACACAGAGAAACCCTGTCTCGAAAAAACAAACAAACAAACAAACAAACAAAAAAAAAAAAGAATGTAATGTCAGAATCCAGCAGCTGCTCAGAACACAATATAGTCAACAGCTTTCCCCTGTCATAGATACCAACAGGCATCCTACAGAGACATTTGAGTCCCTAGCTAACAGACTTTCAGGTGCCAACATCTCTCTGGCCTGAAAATTAAGTCTACGTCAAAGTGAGCCCTGATGGACACCCATCTTGCTCCTTACCCTCTTCCCTGCCTCCTGCTTCAGAATGAAAGAGCCTGATTGTAGGCTCCAGCTGTGAAACCTCCTCCATTCTCAGAAACATATAAAAGGAGACCCACACTTCCGCCACGGGGAGGATTCGTTTCTTCAGAGACCCCACCAAGCTGTCTCTGATGCTGACACTGTCAACTTTCCTCACAACCCCCACCATGCTATTGCCCCTCTTTCTATCCATCTACTGCATTAATAACTCATATTGCCTGTATTAGTTAGGGTGTCGATTGCTGTGAAAAAACATCATGCCCAAAATCAACTTGGGGAAGAAAGGGTTTATTTCATCATCTACAGAAGTCAGAGAAGAAACTCAACAGAGGCCGTGGAGGAGTGATGGTTACGGGCTTGTTCTGTTTTCTTATGCTATCCTGGACCATTTGCCTCAGGAGGCACCACCCACGATGGGGTGGGCCCTTCCACATCAATCATTAATCAAGAAAATGCAAAGGGCGTAGTGACATGTGCCTTTAATTCCAGCACTCGGAAGGCAGAAGCAGGCAGATCTCTGTGAGTTCTAGGCCAGCCTGGTCTACATAGTGAATTCCAGCCAGATAACTAGTGAGACCCCTCTCAAGAATAATAGTATTGATGTTGGGCAGTCATGATGAATGCCTTTAATCCCAGCACTCGGAGGCAAAGGAAGGCAGATCTCTGGGTTCAAGGCTAGCCTGATCTACAGGACAATTCAGAACAACCAGGGTTACACAGAGAAACCTTGTCTCGGAAAACAAAAACAAAAAAGATACTTTACCAAATATGCATCACACAAAGTTGCTGACTATCATTTGCCAAGGGAATTCAAACTGAAACCGCTCCTATTAAGATGGCTACTATTCACAATAGGTGAGCTAGTTGAAAATAAGCAAAAACTTAGCAAGACACAAGGGAGTCTCAACTAGGGGTGCATAGGCAAAGAACACTGAACATAGTTACCATGCAGACCAGCAACCTTTCCTAGCCATGCACTCCTTAGAGCAGAAAGACTCATACACAAGCATTTACGGCAACCTGTTTTCAGCCACAAGTTACACACACACACACACACACACACACACAAACACACACACACACAAACACACACCCCGAATATCAACATATAAGTGAATGTGCTGACATTCACATAGAGAAATAAAAACTGCTGACAACCTGGCTAAATCTCAAAAATATTGTAAAATCAGACTCTAGACACCCTGACTACAATATGTGAAATTCTAGAAAAGACAAATTATAGTGATGAAGGGAGATCAGAGCTTGCCCAGGACTGGGGGTAAGATGATAAACAGTGGATGAGGAGTTACAAGGAATGTTGGAGGGTAACAAAAACGTTCTGTACCCACTTAGGTAACAGCTTCTTGGGTGTACACATCTGCAAAAATTCTTCAGAATGTACAGTTAAAACTGTTACTATGTACATATACCTCCCTAGAGGTGACTTTTTTTAGTGGGGGTACAACTTCAAAGATGTCAAATGCATATGGTAGAAATATAAATGCCTGCTTTTTTCTCTGCATTTTCTGTGCGTTTTTTTTTTTTTTTAAACTATTCTCTCCTAAACATCCAAAAAATAAATAAATAGAGTAGTAAAAGTTCTTTAATGACCTGATCATTTCCTTCTTCAACACACATGGACCAGCAAGACGGCTCAGCAGGTTAAGGCAATTACAACCAACCCAGCTGACCTGAGGAGTTCAATTCCTGGAACCCACAGGATGAAAGGAGAGAACCAACTCCCACAAACTGTCATCTGATCTTCACACACATACCATGGTGTGAGGTATGTATGCATACATACATACATACACACACACATACACACACACATATTTAAAAAAAAAAAAAGCTGGGCAGTAGGCATATACCTTTAATCCCAGTACTTGGGAAGCAGACATGCTGATCTTTGAGTTCAAGGCCAGCCTGGTTTACTCAGAGTTCCAGGACAGCCAGGGCTACACAGAGAAACCCTGTTGTACACGGTAGGGGGTAGAGGGGGTGGATTTCTGTAAGTTTGGCTACAAAGTTAGTTCCAGGACAGCTTTGAAACACCATAGACAGAGATAAACTGTCTGGGGGTGGGGGGTGGGAGGGTGGGGGGGGTGGGGGGGGTGGGGGGAGAACCAAGCAAAATAATAATACTGCTCAGCTTATAATGTAACTGAGTCATACAGTACTTGCCTTCATGCACAAGGCCTTGAGTTTGATCCCCAGATCACAAAGAAATAAAACCAGCAGAACTCGGAGCCAGAGATGGCTCAAATGCTAAGAGTCCTTGTGCTTTTCCAGAGGACACAAGTTCAATTCTCAGAACTGACATTCGATAGATAGCTCACAACTAACTGTAACACCAGCTGTAGGGGATCTGACACCCAATTCTGGCCTCCATGGGCAACTGTACATATGTTTTTTACACACACACACCCCACATAAATAAATCTTACCAAAACAAGCAGCACTCAATATAACTCAGTATATTATTTTATCAGTTTTTCAAATCCTTACCAATCAAGACTTAAAATAATACAGACGTGTATTCAATGATTTGGTTACATACCTGACAGCAGACTAAGAAAATGAAGAGTGTTATAGCCGTCCATAGTACCTTCTCTCTAAACTGAATCTGTATAACACAAGTACAAGAATGATCAATCAAATTCAAAGCAAACTCCATAGTAAGGCACCATTACCATTCCCCATTGGGCATGCTCATTGTTTGCACACCCTAGCTTGTTCCAGCTAAAATCAATAGCCAAGCATCTCAAATGCAAGTCTCTTCTTTTCCAAAAGGAAGGTATTACTTGTAAGCTTTCTGTGCTTTTTGTATATCCTAGGTAGTAATTCTCAATCAGTTGTACAGCCAGGAAGAATTTCCTCTCATTCTGTTGCTGTCTCTGCATGCCTTTCCTTTGCTGTGCAGAAACTTTTAACTTCATGAAAATTCCATTCGTCAGCTGTTGGCATTATCTTCTGAGTGACTGGAGTCCCACCCAGAAAGTCTCTGCACACGGCTGTATCTTAAGGTGCTTTCTCTACTCTCTATTCTCACAGTTCAGAGTTCCAGGTGTTACACTAAGGTTTTTGATCCATTTGGTGTTGAATAAATTTGAAAGATTGACTATAGCTTGTAATAGTTAAGTCTATATCTCCAACTAGCTCCCATGTGCTGCCACAAAAAAAGATAATTTAAATATAAGCATGCTTCATGAGTGCCAGGCAGTGGTGGCACATGGCTTTAATCCCAGCACTCAGGAGGCAGAGGCAGGTGGATCTCTATGAGTTTGAGGACAGCCTGGTCTAAAGAGTGAGTTCCAGGACAGCTAGAACTAAGACTACACAGAGAAACCCTGTCTCAAAAAACAAACAAAACAAAATGAACAAAAAAACATGCTTCATGTACACTGTCCAAGGGAAAATAACTGAAGAGGAGGCAAAGTAAAGCAGATCTAATGCACGTTTCAGTCAAAAAGGGAACTGCATGAAATACTGAACAATTTTACACAGGAATCCTAGGATATCCATAAACTATGAAAAGTTACACTTGGGTATGCCTAAAGTAAAACTGAGTAGCCATCTCTAGCACCTCAAATCATTAAAAATTAAAAGTACTTCTAAATAAAACAGTAAGCCCAACAAAAGCTTTATCAATCTCTATGACCCTATTTTGTTATTAATTTCCTAAGAACTAAAAGGACGGACAGGATAGTCTAAGAACTGAACATTTTTAAATTAATATTATTTCTGGAGTTTTAAATATCTCAGTTCCAAATATGCTCAATGATTGAAGAACAATGTGATTTAGTTATGATACCTTCTAAACACATTGCTGCTATTTCTTTCCTAACAAGAAATTAAAATATGGGAGGTATATACTCACACAATTGCAATTTATTGTGTAAAACAGTTGGTACTCACTAAAACCTACCCAGCAAATCATAACATCAGCTAGCAATATATACATCCTACACTAAAGAATTATAAAGTACCAACATGGCCAGGAGAATAGTGTATCTTAACTAACACACAGGTCAAGAACTTGGGTTGGAAACATAACTTAGAGCAACATTTTTGATAGAATGAAAATCCTACCTACTCTTTAAAAAGTCTATAACAGGGCCAGCCAGATAGATGTGGTGGTTTGAATGAGAACAGCCCTATAGGTTCATATATTTGAAAACTTAGTCCCTAGTTGGTGGAACTGTTTTGGGAAGGATTAGGGGGTGTGGCATTGTTGGAGGAGGTGTGTCACTAAAGGTGGGCTTGGAGGTTTTGAAAGCCCATGCCAGGTCCAATTCTTTCCACCACCAGACCCACATGGTGAGAGAAGAGAAACAATTCCCAAAAGTTGCCCTCTGACCTCCATATGTACACCACAGTACACTGGTGCACTTGTGAGTGCATATATATATATATATATATATATATATATATATATATATATATGAGAAAAATTAATATAACTTAAAAATTAAAAACCAGTCTATAGTTGTTTGCAAGATGAGGAAGTAACATTTTTCCACTTACAACCAGAAATGGTTGGGGTAAGCAAATCAACCTTGGTGGTTTGGCAGAGTAATTCACCTGTAAAGTTACCTTCTGTATTAGTAAAATATTATACTTACTTTCCTTTCAGGCTTCTGAATTTCTGGTAGAACTGCACAGAAAGGTTTGATAACTTCTAAAAACTTGACTGTAAAAAAAATTATCAAGTTTAAAAATGTATCTTTTAACAGTTTGAAAAACAAATTGTCTTTAACAGCTGTTTATCCCGTCCACCCAAATTAAATAATCATGATGTTCTCAAGTTCAAAGAAGTAGGTCTGCAATAGATAAGACCATCCAAATGGCTAGTGAGTAAATAATGAAGGAAAGTCAATAATGAACCAGGACTTTGCTTCTTCATGCTTAAACCCAATCCTTGTATATATACAGAACAGGAAATATTCAGATCACCACTATGAAAAATAAGTAAATGCAGTTTACTACAATACTTCGATAATGCACTAATAGATGGCGGGACAGAGAGAGCCTTTCCCAGGGATGCTATAGAAGGAAATGAGCTTAACCTCAAGTACTGACTTAAACAGCTTAAAGATGGCAACATTCACTAGGCAAAGAAAGAGGGGAAAAAAAATCAGGATCACTTCCTACAGGCAACTTTTTAAAGCCTACCAACTCTACTTCATTTCAGTTAGCCGCATTTCACAGCTTGGTCATTCTCCAAGTAACCACATCCAAGTACTTACACACAAGAATCAGCTCAGAGAATGGCAATTACATTTCATTATAAAGTACTGCTTTCCCAAGCTACTTCTGAAGTAATATAAAGTAAGATAAACCAAGGTTTAGGGATCTTCGCTATCTCCTAAGTCCCGCTGGACTCACAAAGGTGTAAGTTACCGATGTCAGTTAGAATTTATAATTGTCATGTTTGCTATCTAAGTACAAGTTTGGACTATTTAGAAAGTAGATCTAAAAATCTGAAAACATTCACCTGTAATAAAAAAAAAAAAAAAAAAAAACTATGGGTCACATCAGGAAACTTCCTAGAGTCTCCTTATTCCTTTTCCTTACCAAGCGACCCTCCGGGATTTCTTGGCATTTTATGATTCGCTGTACTGGCGTTCGGGTTCAAACAATGCTGTTGCGTGCCTCCATGTATTTTTCCTATCCTGAGAATTCCATTTATCATTCTAACTCAAGGCCAAGGGTCTTACCTATTCCCTTTTCCAAATGTCTACCAGTTGTCCAAAGGGTGTATGGCTTGGACCTTCAGCTAGGCACCCCTTTAGACACAAACGTGTGAACTGCTAGGTTAAGTATTTGCGTGAATACACATGAGGATGGATGTTTTGGGGCAGGGCCCTCGAAGGATCCCCACAATACGAGGCCTCGTCCTACCGCGCGCACCAACTTACAGTTTTCAATGAACACCACAGAATGACTGGGATGAATATTTCAAGGAAAATGCTGAGCTACCGATCACACGCCTTTCCTCCCCTAAAACACATGCTATGAATCACATAAAAAAAATGAAGGAGACTTATTCATCGCAACACGCCAAGGAAGCGTGATTCAGGAATTTAAAAAAAAAAAAAAAATGAGCTTCCTAAGATCCAGAAAAATCCCAAGTGGTCCAAGCTAGGGAGAGTGTCCTAACTCCCCGCCCCCCAGCCAATGGCCTCCCCGCATCATCCACGCTCCTAGCCGCCTAAGGGACGCAAACCGGGACCTCTGGGTCTCCGTGACCCGCCGGGCGAGGCCTCGCTGACCGGAGGCGCCTCGGCGGAGGCCCCCCGCTCGCGCCATCCGCCGCGACCCCGGCGAGGCCTGCGTATCTTCAGCCCCCCCAACGACCCCCAGGGGGAAGCCGCTCCACGGCCCGTAGCCCGGAGGGACCCGCGACCCTGAGGTTCCCGCTCCCGCCACCACACTCACTGCCCATGGCGGCGGCTCGGGACACCCGGCGAGGAACGGCGGCCTCGCAGCTGCTTCTGCTCCGTTCCTCACGACTCTGGCCTAGGCGACGGAGGCTTGGGACACGCTTCGTCCGTCCCCGCACAAGCTCCGCCCACGAGTCATGTGACACGCGCTCTCAGCTCCTCCCAGACCCGCCCCCAGATCTGGCCCCAGCCGTTGGACGACGGCCACCGCGTTGCCATGGCCACCACTGGCGCGGCGGCAGGGGCGGGGCTGCCACAGTGGGCGTGTCTTGGTTGCCCTACCCAGTTCCGTGGCCTCCCAGAGACAGGCCTTGGGGACCCAGGGTTTTCCTTTTCGGGGCTGTTTTCCCAGATTAGGTTTCCTAGTTCAGGCATCCCGCTGGTCTCCTGAGGCCTGGGGCTGAGCTTCCAGAACCAACCTTTTCTTTCAGGCCCATCTTAAGTGTAACTTCTTAGAGATTTGTAAAAATTTGGTGACACACTGTGCATTCAATAGCTTACAAAAGTACTCTCCAGTTTACTACCACGTGCTTTCCCCATCTCCAAAGTACAGACATCAAGGTTTTATGCCTCCTGAGATTGAGGAGTTCACTGAAATCAGTTCTTTGACCCATCTGGTGGCTCCTCCTGCTTCACCAATTTGTGTCTTCTTGGACAGCATGTGGTTAAAAAACAAAAAACACAATATTAGAATTCAGTCAAACCAGCAGTGGTGGCGCACGCCTTTAATTCCAGTACTTGGGAGGCAGAGCCAGGCAGATCTCTGCGAGTTCGGGGCCAGCCTGGTCTACAAAGCAAGTTCCAGGAAAGGCGCAAAGTTACACAGAGAAACCCTGTCTCGAAAAAACAAAGCGAAACAAAACAAAACAAAAAAAGAATTCAGTCAGCCCTACATTTTAATCTCCAGGAATGCCTTTGGGCAATCAACCTAGATGAGCTACTTTGACAAAATATACACAACAGCAGCCACCTTATGTGGGTGTAAAATTTGAATTGAGACACTAGTATACACGAAGGCTTTTAGATTAATTTTCCTTTCTCAAACTTTAAACCACTCCTCGAAATCAAGTCTGTGTTCTAATGTCTGCTGTAACAAGCTAAGTCGAAGGTGACATCCTATACTCAGTCAGTCATCAGTCAAATCCAAAGACGTGTTCTCCTGTTCAGATCTAGAACCAAGAAGGAAACAAGATAAGCACCTGGAGTGGGGGTGGGGACCGTAAGGGTTGTCTTGCAAGGGCCTGCAAGGGTTTTTCTCACCGTGTTTGTGGCCAGCTGGGAAAACTCAGAGGATTAATATTTGCACTTGCAAAGAAAGGCTCTCTCAGATCCTGCCATCAGTGCTTATTGTGAGCATTGGCTTGTCCTTTTGGCTTCCCAATGTGTACTGGGCCTCCTCACAACAATGTAACTTAGTGCCAAGGGATGCCATTGGAAATGTGTCTCAGTTATTGTAGTAGGCAGCCAGGAAGGTCTGCTCAAGTTCTGGGAGAGGAGAGAAAAGACGTTGTCTCTAGGGGAGGGTGAGACACAGCTGGAAGACCTTGAGTGATCTCCCATCCTTTGAACTCACCCTGATTTCATCCTACTTTGTTGGCCATTCTTTTTCTTCCCCTCACCCCACCCCTGTTCCTCCTCCTCTTTTTCTTAAGAATCTCGTGTACCCCAGGAATCAGTTGATTTCACAGATTAACTTGAGTAACCCCTCCACTATTCTTCAGTCTTTCTGGACTTCCCAAATGCGACCCAGAACTTCCTTGACCTATATGTCACCAAATCTCTGTCTATCAGGATTATCATTCTACTTTTAGTCTTCCAATTGTTTTAGCATATCCACCCAGGAAATCTCTTGGGTTGGAGAGATGGCTCAGCAGTTAAGAGCACTTATTGCTCTCTGCAGAGGACTTGCGTTCAGTTCTGTGCTAGCTAGTTTTATATCAACTTGACACTGGCTAGTCATTTGAGAAGGAACCTCAAGTGAGAAAATGCATCTATAAGATTAGCCTGAGGACAAACCTGTGGAGCATTTTCTACATTGATGATTGATGTGGGAGGTCCCAGCTCACGAAGGGCAACGCCACACCGGTCCTGGATACTGTAAGATAGCAGGCTGAGAAAGCCATGAGAACAAAGCCATTAAGAAGCATTTCTCCTCAAAGAGACCACAGAGACTTCATCCAGCAACTGATGGAAGCAGTTACAGAGTCTGACAGCTAAACATTAGGCAGAGCTTGGGGGATCCTGCAGGGGAGAGGGAATGACTGGAGGTTCTAGAGAGGTCAGGGACACCAAGAGAACACAGCCCAATCAATTGACAAAGACTCATGGGGGCTCACAGAGACCAGGGAGCCTGCAGGAGTCTGACCTAGGTCCTCTGTATGTATGTTATGTCTGAGTAGCTTGGTGTTCTTGTGGGATTCCTAACAGTGTGAGAGGGGGCTGTCTCCGACTCTTTTGTGGGCTTGTGTGACCACCCCTTTCTTCCTGCTGGGCTGCCTCATCCAGCCTTGATGTGATGGTATGTGCCTGGTCTTATAGTAGCATATTATGTGTGTTTGGTGGATGTCCCTGGGAGGCCTGCTCTTTTCTGAGGGGCGACAGAGGGAGGGTGGATCTGGGGGAGAAGGGAGTGGGGGGGGACGGGGGGAGGGGAAGGAGGGGAAACTATAGTCAAGATGTGATATATGAAAGAATTAGAAGAGGAGAAGGAGAAAAAGAAGAGGAGAAGGAGAAAGAAGGAGAAAAAGAAGAGGAGGAGGAGAAGAAGAAGAAGAAGGAAGCATTACTCCAGGACTTGTGCTTCAGTTTCTGCCTCCAGGTTTCTCCAGGTTCAGTTTTCTGACTTCCTTCAATGATTGTCTGTGACGAGGAACTGAATGCTGAAATAAACCCCTTTCCCCCCAAGTTGCTTTTAGTCACAGTGTTTTATTCTAGCAGTAGGAAAGTTCCCAGGACCCACATGGTAGCTCACAGCCATCCATGACTCCAGTCCCAGGCGATCCAATGCTTTCTTCTGACCTCTGCAGTCACCACTCATGCACATGATACACATACATACATGCAACACATACATGCAGGAAAGACACACATACACATAGACATAAAATAACAAAATGAATTTTAAAAGCCCCTATTGCCAGGCATGGGAGCATATACTTTAATCCCAGCACACAGGAGGCAGAGGCAGATCAGACCAGCCTGATCTACATATCTAGTTCCATGGCACCAAGGGTTACACTGTCTTAAAAAACAAAAACCACTTTTATTTATTTATTTATTTATTTATTTATTTATTTATTTATTTATTTATTTATCTGCACACTGCTAGTTTGTCAAGGACCAAAGCCTTCTAAAGCAAAATAAAAACAATGTTATATGTAGAATATTTCTTGATGAAATATCTTTTTACTCTTAAATTGTTGTTTCTTATATTCTGATGTTCATTCTCTATATCTGGCTGTCCATATGAGTAAGAGAAGATAGTGAGCAATACTAAAAATAAAAAGTTCAGTAAAAGTTTTCTAAATTAACAGATCTTGTAATTTAGGGGAATTAGTAGAGATTTTGGGTTTTGTTTTTGTTTTTTGAGACAGGGTTTCTCTATGTAGCTTTGGAGCCTGTCCTGGAACTGCCTGGAACCAGGCTGGCCTCAAACTCACAAGAGATCTCCCTGATTCTGCCTCCTGAGTACTGAAATTAAAGGCATGCAGCCACCACCACCTGGCTGTAATTAGTAGGTTTTATGTTTCGTTTTATCAGATGTCAACAAAAACATGATAGAGTTGTTTAGGGGTTATTTGTACAGGGTGTGTTATATATTTTATGTAAAATGAACTCGCTGAGAAGCTGAGATAAAACTTAGACATCCAAGTATATCCAAGAGAAATGTAGAGAAGCTTCTGGAACGTCAAGACTAAAAAGCATTGACCCATAATCTGTGACTTCTTTCCTGGGCAACCCCCTTTCCTTCCATTTTGTAAAAGAAATACTGTTTGTATCGCCATTTCAAGAATCTTCAAAATGGAGAATTCAAACTTAGTTCTCAGCCTGCACATCTGGCTACTTACAACTATCTGTAACTCTAGTTATAGGGGATCTGGAGCTGTGGCCTCTGCAGGCATCTGCATTAGCATGCATACACACACACAAACACACACACACACATGAACACATTCTCTATCACATAAATAAAATAAGTCTTTTTTAAAGTAGTAAAACTTCCAAGATAATACAGGCAAACTAAAGAAGTTATTTTCAGAATACTTTCCCAAACAGGAAGAAGTATATGAAAAATTGAGCAAAATGATTTTTACAAGGTAGAAAATTTTATTTTACTAAGAATAATATATCATTTCAAGCAAAATTGAAGTTCTCCTATGGTTGTTAATATTCTAACTTACTTACTACATAATTTAAGTTCTATTCCTCACTGAACGTTAAACAAGCATAATTATGGGTAGTAGATATGAGAGACTAATGTCACATTTTTAAGAGGAATAAAATACAGAAGTGCATGTTTGATTTGAATTCTTCAAATGGTCCCTTCTGTAAAACAATTCAAAATGTGGTTGAGACAGAAGACACTCTCATGGCTCATGCAGGTAAAACCATAACAAGAAATAGTAAACTTGTGAGGTAAATTGTTATGAAGAAATTCAGAAAGAGCAAGACAATTTTCTGTTCTTTTCTTTTCTTTTTTGGTTTTTCAGACAGGGTTTCTCTGTGCAGCCCTGGATGTCCTGGAACTCACTCTGTAGACCAGGCTGGCCTTGAACTCAGAGATCTGCCTGCCTCTGCCTCCTGAGTGCTGGGATTAAAGGAGTGTGCCACCACTGCCTGGCTATGACAAAAATATTCTTAAATATATTAACTTCCATC